CATTCTATTAGAAAGTGTTCATGAAGATGATTGTAAAAGTTTGATTTTTTTATATTTTAAATTATTAATTTTTATATATTTTTAAATTATTTTAATATACCGATGCCAAAATTAATTTTTTTAAATATTATTTACAATATATTTTTTAAAAAATTATTTTAAATCATAACCATTACCATTCTTTTAAACAATCCTGTCAACAACGTTTGACAACATTGAAGTTTAGATCCTGTTCAAGGTTGTCCTTATAGGTTTGGCTGCCCTGCTAAAGTTTATTTTATTTTTTAGGAAGCTTGCATTCAAGATCAAGATCAACTCTTATGATCTTGATTTTATAGTCTTAGAAACAGCTCAATCAAATATGCCTGTCAGATTTAATTTATGGAGTTAATTTCAGGGTCAACTAGCATAACTTTCAAGGTATATGAAAGTCCTAACATTTAAGATCTAATTTAAACATAGAAAATGGATTCCATAGATGAGAGGAAGAGTAGTGATGATGAAAGGAAAAGCTTCTGCCATGGACCAGCTTGGTCCTGGTCATGGGTTGCAAAAGAAAGCTCTGTCCCGTGACAATATCAAAGTGAAAATGACAAGCTTAGATAGATCTCACCTTGCACGTCTTCTATTCGACCGTCAAGGAGGGATTGCCGGACGGTCGCCCATGTCCTTCTCAAACATACCTATGCCTATATACATATATAGGTATATACAAAGCACTTTCTCAAAGAGCATTCATTGTTTGGTTACGTGTGGGGGTCTTAGAAGGAGTGGGAACTGTTGGTTTTTTTAAGTATTTTTTTATTTAAAAATATATTAAAATAATATATTTTTTATTTTTTAAAAAAATATTTTTGATATCCATATATTAAAATATCTAAAAACATAAAAAAATATTAATTTAAAATAAAAATATAAAAAAATATTTAATTTTTTAATACCCCGTCATCCTCATGTGTTCGATTTTCGATCGCTGTCTAATCTCGACCACTACACATGCCATGCAAAAACATGACGAAACCGACCATTCCCATCCCAGCATGACGTAAGTTTGCCCCATCCATGAAAACCAAGGCCATGATGATTGGGACCGGTGGCTCACAAGCAAGGTCATGACGGTGCCAAATGTTGTTTTCTTGCAATCTTGCTGCCATGTTTAGAAAGCCAAAACGACAAATGAACGATCCAGTTTCTTGGATGTCTCGCAGTGCTTGTTGAAAAAGCAACACAGAGGAGTGAAAACTGTCCCAGAAGAGCAGATGATTCTCCTTGTACGCGTTTGAAAGTGCTAAAATTGAAGCAAGGAATTATGCCGCTAGAATTGCATTTTTGCCCACTATTCGACCTTCCAGGCAATATTACTTGTGAGTAGATAGGATTTTATATTTGTTGACAAGTGCCACTGCTACATGAGGACTGATCCCTCTAGCTTTGAATACAGTCACATGACATGTTGGCTCTGAAATTTTATCTGCTGCTCCATTAATGGAAGTAGATGCATTCAATTATAGGGTTTTCTCTCCTAATTAACAGATATAATAAAAGAGATTCGTGGTTTATCATGCTGCTATTGTTCATCCTTTCTGATCTCATTATTCGCAGCACCGCTTGTTAGGCAAATTCGCTTTCTAAATCCCCCAAATGTTAGATGTGTTTTAGTTTGTTCATCAAACTTTATTTTCATTCAATTTAGTCCTTAAAAGCTCTACCTTCATCGTCAGAAGGTTTTTTATTCTATTCAGGCTGCATGTTATCGCTTGTCCAAGATACCAAATATCATTTTGAAGCTCAACTATTAATCTCTGATTATTGCAAGAAGAAACAATCAAAAGAACCAATAACAAAGTTGACATGGATATAATCAAAAGCCTTTCCTCATGTATATTGTTCAATAGGTGTGTAATGGAATTCAATCACAGATAACTTTAATTTTTATCTTTATGGATTTATCTTTAAGAAAGGGACTCAATGAAAGCGGTTTCTACCTTCAATAATGCAAAAAAACTAGATCAAAAGCGGGGAATGTTATTTGATTTGATAATAAATTTTAAACTGATTAAAAAGTATTTTTGTTGTTAGGAATATGGTTTAAGAAGTTCATAAAATGTTTTTTTTTAATGTTTTTTGATGAAAATTAGTTGAAATTCATATTTTTAAAGTTAAAAAATACAGACCCTGATTTTTTAATTATTTGAGCCACTTCCAATAACAAGAAAGGTTGTAAATGAATGACATGTCATTAGCCTAAACAAGTAACACGTCATTCATTTACTTTTTAAAAAAAAAAATAAGGACAGCAGGTGATGTGTTATATGATTGATAACGAAGAAAAACTCAAACGTGTGGGCCTGAGCTTTCAGGGCTAAGCATTCCTAGGTTTTAAATATGGCATAAGGGTGCGATTTTATTTTTCTAGCCTATGAATATTTTGCCCTTCAATCATTTTTTGATTTTAATTATTTTTTAATTTTCATTTTATAACTAGATTCTTTTGCAATAAATTTATTGAAATGATGTTTGGATAATTATCCAATTATGTCATCGTTTCCAAATAATATTAGCTTGGTTTATAATAATATTACCAAATGTTTTTAAAATAAAGTTTTGTTTGTTTATTTTTATATTATAAATTTTTTTATATAATTCTACCAAGTTTATTATTCTTATATTTTTTTAAGAATGGAACCCCAAAGATTAAAGGAAAGTAAAAAAAATACGATTGCCACATAATTCTATAAAAAAAACTAAGAATCTTAAATATACACTGATTTTAAAAATATAAGTAAAACGTTAGTTATTTAAAAAAAAAAATTAGATATCACTTATACAACATCCTTCTAATCAAAAGGTTAACTTTATGATGTATTTTCTTTTAAATTTATTTTATGCATGTCATTTATTATCTAAACTATTTTATAAAACTATTCATCAATAATATATTATTGGTTAATATTTTTCTAGTTAGCATTGAAGCCTAAATCATGAGTTTTACAACAAGATGATTTTTAGTTTTAGTTTATATAAATAATATATCTTGACTCTTTATTATTATTATTATTATTATACTAAAAAGTTGAAAAGAAAACTATGTTGGTCCCTATTTAAAAGAAACTTGTGGACTTAAATTGAACTCATTCTTGATTTTAAAGTATGTAATAGGTCCATGTTAATTTTTAAAATTATGAGACATATTGACATGTTAAAAATTAAGTTTTTATCAAAAAATAATGCTAAATTGATGAAAACTCGTTGATGAATTTTTTATTTTTTATTAGAAAAAATATAAAACAACTATACATACCCAAAAATTTCAACTCCGAGAACAAATTAATAATTACATCCTAGATAAACTTGTTGTAACCCAATCCTCTCAATCTAGTTGCAACATATTGATTCTACTCTTATTCCATCCCACAAACAACATCAAATAATGAGGCTGGGAAAAATAATTAAGAGAAAAATTAATGATATTTTTTATAGGCTGATAAAATTGAAATCAAAAGATTTGATTGACTCGAGGATACTTGCAAGAAAAACATTCTAATGCTGGAGTCATTGTAATATCTATTATAATATCTATACAGGTGATAGGATGAATAGGTATTTTCTTAGCTTAAATATTCATTAAACCATATTTAAATTTTGTGCCAGACTTGAATTATGTTAAAGTTAAAGTCTAGAGAGATGGGTTGTATACTTTTAAAAAATTTATTTATATAATTTTTTTAAGATAAATATCTTAAAAAAATATTTAAGAAATTTAATATAAATATTTAATATAAATATCTTATATATATATTATAAAATATTTGTGTAATTTTTTAATATATCATCAATTATGATGTGAAGCCATATAAACACATGCGGAGACTTCCTTTTTTTCACAATTGTATGAAGTCATTATCGTAGCATGTCTCTCACCCTTGAGTTAAGGTCCGTCTAACCATGGTTAGATAGCACAGCATCATTGTTGAATGGTTTAAAGTATGATTGCTTTTTTATTTAAAAAATATTTTTTAATGTTTTTATAATTTTAATTTGTTTTTATAATTTTGAATTGTTCTAATGTGTTAATATTAAAAATATTTTTTTAAAATAAAATAAATATTATTTTAATATATTTTAAAATTAAAATACTTTAAAAAATAATCACAAATATAATATAAAATAATATCTCAATACAACGAACTTACGAGGGTTGATCGAACCAGAGGCTCGATATGTACAACCCAATGAATTTATCATCTCAAAATTAAAATACTTTATCACGTCATGTCTTTTCAGCAGGAAATGAAAATAGTTATACAGGGCAACATGAAACAAGAGACCTCGAAGACCCTTTGGGGGGGCCCAAAGCTAGCTCTATACATATGTGGGGGGTGGGGGGTTGGGGGGTTGGGGGGCGGGGCCCAAAGCTAGCTCTGTACATGGATATTTGACCTTCCAATACTTTCCAGTCTCAATAATAACAGACAAAATGGTCTCTGTGATGGCAAAGAGCCTGAAATAAAATCCTATGCTGATGAGCCAATCACAGCCCATGACAGGGAGCCCGCACCTCTACCTTCTAAAGGAAAACATGGTCCCCAGCCCTGGCAAGAGAATATTTCAGTTAGATCCTCATCACATTCCACTACCTTCTTCCCTTGTAGCTTTTTTCCCTGTGGATCTAATGGCAACAAAAGTCCTTGCTTTTGCCAGCTAACCATCAAGAACTACGAAACTTGTCCGGGCAAGCCTTAAATAAATTGCCATGCGCAGACTATAAAAAGGCTGGCAGCATGCCGCGTGAAGATTGATTGATATCATCGGCGACCATTCCTCTATAACTTTCTGTCACCATTGTTCGTATTTCGTATCCCTTTGTTGTCTCACTAACGGGTTGCTTCTACGTTATACTCGAGACATTATTTTTACATTTTAAAAAGTGAATTTTTTTTATTTTTTTATTTAAATTAATATTTTTAATATTAAAAATAACCGCTGCTATCACACTGCCCTGAAGAGCTCAACAGCAGAAGGTTTTGACTCCACCTTCGCTCCCTTGCAGAACAGGTGTACTAGAAGTGGAACTCGGGCTCAGACCAGCCCTCGTTACCTAACAGTGCTATTACACAGCAGGGGGGCGAAAAAGAAGATAAACGACGACGTATACTGGCACACAGTTTCTTGCAAAATCTTAGAAAGAACAACAAAATTAATATTGCAATAAAAACCTATGATTCAGATATTGGAACTTAGTCGTCTATTCTGTGGTTGGAAGTTCGTCAGCCACATCACCTTCTGTCCCTGAAGGCTCATCAGGGATCTCATCCTCAGTTGCTACAGCCTGTTCATCATCATTGCCCTTTAACTCATTCTCACTAAAAAGATCCCTTTGAACAGGGACAGTTTTTTGTTGCTGGGATGACATGACATTTGCAATAGCTTTCAAAGCTGCAGATGCCTGATTACTATCCCCCGCATCCTCTGTGTCAATACCATTGACATTAGGCTCCTCCTTGGACTCGTCTTCTAGGCGCGGTGGGGGAACAAAAAAAGGTATCTTACCCCTCTGCCAGTCATGAAGAACCATCTTTGCTGCAGTCATATGGTCAGGTTCACCACCCTGAACACAAGTTGTTCAAAATATAGAGTTATAAGCATAATCCAGGCACAAGATTGGATGAAACTTGATATTTATGTGTTTGAGAAATGCATTTAAATGGTATAAGCAAAGCGAAGTGTTTGCAGTCGATACATCAAACATGCTGTTATCCAAATCTAACCCAATATATCCTACGTAACAGATGCCTTTAGCTCCATCTAGAGACATTTTCCACTACATTATGCGACATTTATCAGTGTAAAATTGATGCTCTTGTTATGGTTTGCTTCTCGTGCATTCATTTTCACTACATGTTAGGGGATTAATCAGGAGAGAGAAGCATTCGTCTCCTATGCACTTGGACAGACATTCAGCATTTTAAAGAGCTTGATGAGCCTGTTGGCAGTCCCCCACTATTTCAATAGCACCAGGATAAATATGCAATCATGACAAGCATTTAACTGATTCCTTTTCTTTTCCTTTTTAGTCCTCTCTTCTGATATTTAGGGTTTGGAAATTGGAAGCTTAGCACTCCCAACAGCCTATCAATATTTGATATCAAGCACTTACAGGTTAAAACATATGTTCTGCTCTCACCAATAAACAAAACATACCTTCAAAAGTTTGCCTGTTGATTTGCAGAGCTGAAGCAGAAAGTCATTATCATCATCCCTGACAACAATGAGTTATAGTTAATTGTAGCTCTTGCATGCTTTATATCAAATAAAGACTTTAGCGATAAGAAATGCATGTTTGGGAATCTCAAAACTCCATTTTAGGTCCCTTGTTTCATCACATAAAAGTTAAGGTAGGTATACTTCTCAAATGACCAAATCCATTGAAGCAAAGTGGTAAATACAAATCAGTTTTGGCACATATTGATAAGTTGGAGTTTATAAACCCTTCAGTCCTCTTAAGTCTTGAGAATCAGATGAACAGCAGAACAAAACATGGTGCATTTGTCAAAAATAAAATGCATTTCAAATTTATGGCAGTCACTATAACTGGCCACAGGCCCATTCTTCAAATCTGATGAGGATTCAGGGCAGGGGATGAGCACTTGTAAGTAGCAATATGGAACGGACATGGGCATAAAACCTCTGACACCCATCTGGGACAGGAAGGCTTATAACTCAAATAGGAGAAATTATGGTGGGAGCCAGGCTCACTGTTAGCCCACAGTTATACTGGTGGATTATGCATAAAGTGCATGGGCAAATGATGAGCCAAGATCACAAAATAATTTTTCTTTCAATAGGTGCTCCTTCCAATATTCTAGTTACAAATGCTCATTCCAGGTGCTCCTTGAAAAGAAATCATAGACAATTAAGTAGCTCACCACGCTTTGATCTTATATGCTCTTTGTAGGTGCTCCTTCTTAACACGTTTCAGAACCTCTCCTATGTGTTCAGCAGCATCATGCAAGTTTGTGACACGTACCTGGAAAGGGCCCATTCATAAACAAATAAAAGGTAAATTAGAGTTACAGACACGAGAGCAGAGACATTCACTAGAATATGCATGACTAAAATATCTTTACCAAAATAAGTAATCATGGAACAGAAAACCCATGACCATGCATGGCTTACATTGCAGTTACCACGCATAGCATGTTCCAAAAAATGAGAAAGGAAAACAAGCAGCAGAACAAATTCTGTTTCCCATTTTTTATGGTTCCTGAGAAAAATTTCTTCTATTGTATTAATTTTCTGAAAGCACTCGATAAAAGTTTTTCCTGCTTTCAATAATAGGACTGTTAAAAAACTATGACCAGAAAAAGTATTGCAGAAAATTATGATTTTCTGGTTTTGGAATGCCTAACAGTTATTGAGGACAAACAAACAAGCAGCACCTATGCTTAAATTGGATTCCAGTGCAAAAAAGGTCATGTCTATGAGTCAGTGGTAGACTAGCAAACTCAGTAAAATAGTAGGAAAGCCAATAAAGAATAGACTACGACACTTGTATATAGGTAATTTCTGCAGGCAACTGAACAAACAACATACCACGCCCTTCAATACAATATCTGTTTCTGAGTCTTGGTTCTGGTAAACAACCCCAGGGCAGTCAATCAAGAAAATCCTCTTTGTGAGTGTTATATACTGCCAGACCTTGGTTTCCCCTGGGATAGGAGCAACCTTGCAAACCTAAAAGGAAGGGACAAATTTTTATCAATTAAACTGGAACCAACAAACTCTGTGGCAACACATAACCAGAAGTAGCAAAAGGAGAGTGGAATGTTTACATTCTTGGTACGCAATGTGTTGATAACTGATGATTTTCCAACATTGGGGTAGCCAACAAAACCCACTGATATTGCTTGCTTGTCACTTTTTAAGCGGGCAAACTGTCTCAATACTGACAGAAGAGAACCCTAAGTTCAAGAAAAACAATTTAAAAAAAATTAGGATACAGATTAACATCAAGATTAAAAAATGATTGAATACTAAAATTAAAAAATGATTGAGTACTAAAATACTAGCACAATAGATCAAAAAATAAATGTATGCGGGGGAGCAAGACATAATTTTTATAATTCTCAAGGTAGAAAGCTTGAATTTTTCTATCTATATTTTCCTTTAATTATAATTCTTTTCATATGCAGGTTGCAAATAAGATGGTTTGTTTGAAAATTTAATTAAAAGCTGAGATAGACAACAGAAGGAATACTGATTTATATCAAAAAAAAGTTATCAACTAACAAGAACATCCAAAAAGAAACAGTCCAATCACTCATGAGAAGGTTGCTACGTGCATGGCAACAACTACAGCATTATGGAAATCATAGAATTCAAATAAGTAAAAACAACAGCATATAATCTTTATTGCATCTGAACATATTATAATACCTTGCCAAATGACTTGTTGATGCTTGCATGGAATGCTAGAGTTGGATATTCCTTGGATAAAACACGAAGCCATCCCTTTGTTGCCCAAGCAGGAATAAGATCACACTGTAGGAAAAGCAAGTGAGAGAGGGAGAGAACACCAAATTACCAATATTTACGCTTCAATTGAACAAGCAACATCTTTCTTAAATAAATGTTACAGAAGCCACAGAAAGAAAAAACACAACTAACCTTGTTTAACAGAAGAATCATGTGTTTGTGTTTGCAATGTTCTTTCAGATGCCTCTCTAAATGATAACATCTTGTGCCTTGGGGGTCCCTAGCATCTAAAACCTGTAGTGGAAAGAAGGTGATATTCTGCATTTGACATCAAGATTCATGGAAAATATTTGTGAATCTAAAATACATTTGAAAATTCTCAAGAAATATTTGGATATCCTGAGTCTGAGAAGGAATGGTCAACATGCAATGGACACCATACTAATCACTAAACTTGCTTTTTTTTGGATAATCAATGAATTTATGATGTATTTTATCATTTATAAATCTCGTGGTTCTTGAACGTGACATAATTCTACAGTAGCAGAGTTCCAAGTCTTTTTGATTTAACCACAGAGAATTACACTAACCTGAACAACGACATCTGAAGAATCTATGACTTTGTATAGTTCACCCCATATACGCTTACTTTGGCCCTTCTCAAACATATTATGACGGACCAGATCCCTAAACCCATCTGCTTCTGTTCCTTCTCCATTTGCCTCATCACCATACTTCTGCTCAAAATCATCTGCCAAGTTGCCAACAAAATTATTGAGCTTGTCATCTCATTATCTCACTCAGAGATCAAACTCATTTACAATTCTAAGAAAAATATAAAAACAAAAACCACCAGTTGCATCTGAACAAGGCAAAGCCTGTGTATGGAAGGACAAAGATTTAATGAACCCCAAAAAACAACGTATTCAAAATAAAAATCAAATCATTTACCCTGAGAACCATCAGCTTTCTTAACTAAAGACTCATAATCTGCTGCCAAAAGCCTTGGGCGTTTCCTCTTTGTCTTAGGGCCAAAGGCATCTTCAAAAGGCTGTGTATCAAGAAGATGAACTCTGGCTTGCTTCACAAATTTAAAACAAAACAAAATTTCAGAAAAAACTAAAATTATTAAATCAACAAAACCAAAACTTCACTCCCATGCATTGCATAACAATAGTTACCGTCAGACAAAAGTTTCAAGAAAATCACCAGGAAGATATATTGAGAAATTACAAATTTGCCTAATTGAGACTCATTACACATTGTTTAAACTTTTAACAAAACGGCATACTCAATCACTACCAAAAAAAAAATCGAAATCATCCACTATAAACAAGCGTGTCAGTCAACATTGAAAGCTTATAATAGTAAAATTTCTCCATCTTTATCAAAAAAAAAGAAAAAAGAAAAAAGAAAAAAGAAAAAAGAAAAAAGAAAAAAGAAAAAAGAAAAAAGAAAAAAGAAAAAAGAAGGAGAAGTAGAAGCACTGGTTCCCCTATGTCATCAATTTTAAAGTAAGTTCAAAATACACTACCTTCTGGTGATCATTCAAAAGCGACAAAGGCAGCTTCCTCTCCTTCAAAATAACATTATAACTACTAGACATCCGACTTTGTAACTCCTCGCGAAAAAATTCAAGCTCTTTCTGATTCACAACTCGTGTATTCCCTAAAATAAATAAATAAAAATTAGCTAAGATATTTATAACTATAAAATTAGGACACTGCAAAAGTTAGTCATAGTCTGTTTGTAAATTGTAGAAATACATACCGAACCAACGGCGGTCGGGTTGGATGCGAGTGTTGGGAAGTTCATTAGATTGAAAATCATGCTTTAAGATTTTTCCTTTGCTGTCACGTTTGGGCCTGACGTTGTACATCTGGAGGCGGCGCACGGTGGCGGCGCTGCGGGAATTGGTGTTTTTGACAGTTCCATTGCTGCGATTTGTGTCTAGTGAGTGTTTCGGCTTGCCGGAGATGTTTGATTTCTTCTCTTTCTTCTTTGCCATTTGTGAGGTTGGCGGAGCTAGCGGATTGCAGACGAGATAGCTAGGGTTTTCCAAACGAGTTAAGAAATGGTGAATTTGGGGATTTAAATGTAACTGGACCGGGTTTTGGAGTCGGTTGGATCCCCGTCCCCATCGAGCCCATAGGCCTGACCCACTAAAATTCATTATAGCTCTAGTCAATATTTCTTTCCCTCTCAATGTGTGCACTTTTTTTTCTTCAAGAAAAAAGTTTAATCCATTGCTTTAACATATTTTATTTTTTCTTTTTTAAAAAAAAAATATTTAAAATAATCCATTTCCTTCGGGTTTTTCAATTTCCTCTTTCCATTCCTCAATCTACTATTTTGTTTGAAATTACTTAATAATTTGCAAATTTGTAATTTTGATTTTTTTCTAAATTGTCTTGTCTTTTTTATATTTTTTCTATTTTTCAAAAAAATAAAATTTTAAATTATATATTTTCTTATATGTTTTAGCATTTAATAAAAAATTTGAGGAAATTATAATAAAGTGATTATTTAAGAAAATATTTGGAGTTGAAGGTTAGATAAATAAAAAAAGGAGGGAGAAAATTATTAAAGGTAGAAAGACTAAATATGCTCTTAGTCTTTAAAAGGATTAATCAATTACTTTTCAAATTTTTTTATATTTAATTATCATTAAAATATTTTATCAAAGAAAAAACACTTTTCAATAAAAAAGATTTTAGTTTATTTCTCAATAAAATATTTTTTTTATTTGGGGTAGAATTCACTTTCTAAAAGTTATAAGAAATAAAAAATATCTTCCTTATTTGTTAATTGTAACAAATTTTGTCCTTAATTTTTTTTATTAATATATATATATATATATATATATCTTGTTTTGGATTGTTTTTTTTAGTTTTTTTCAATTTGATCCTTTGAGATTTGGTTTAATTTGATTTTTATATTAATTTTAGTTTTTATTCTTTTGAATGTTATTTTTTTCTTAATTGATACTTTTTATTTATTAGATTTGATCTTTATTTTTTATTACTATTTATTTTATTTGAAATAATTTATAAAATTATAATTTTTTCAATTTTATTTTCCTTTAACTTTTTTATTTGTCAAATTTTATTTGATTCATATTCTTTTTATTGTTATTTTTTATTTAAAATATTTTATAAAATTTGATTTTTTTTCAATCTCCTCTAACTTTTTCATATGTCAAATTTGGCCCCCCTTTTTTATATTGTTATTTTTTTTATTGTCATTGAATAGGTCTTTTGTCTATGAAAATTGGGTCATCAATTTTGTCAATCCTGTATATTCTGTTCCTTCAACTTTTCATTTGTTATTTTGATTCCCATTATCAACTTAGACAATTTTTTAGGCTTTCTTTATATATATCCTCTTATGTTATTTGATTTTTTAGATAAAAAATGAGTAATAATATCAATTCAAATAATAATTGAATTGAGAATGATAATTATATTCATGATAACACAATAGGAGAGCTTGTAAGATCTAATAAACATTAGGGGATCATTTCACGAGTACAAGCACCGGGTAGATGATTTACATATTCTCCACTTCATAATAATGTTTGGCAAAAATAATTGTAAATTTTTTAATTGGATAATTTTATATAAATGCCAGTTTGCATGTAATAATTTAAAAAGGGAAAGATCGACTAGCTGCTCTAAATAAGAGTAGTGGCATCAGTTATTTAATGACTGAGATATTTAATTGATTAGTTATTTTGAATAAAGTTAACGGCGTTAATTATCTGATGATTAAAATATTTAGGCTAACATATTAAAAGTTTAATGAGTCACACACATATTAAGAATTATTGATTAAAAATTAAATTAGGATGATTAATCAATTATGATATAATTGTAAATAAGTTTTAGAAATTAAAAATTAAGATGTAATTAATACAAGAATTATAATTCTAAATCTAAAAAAAATAAGTAGGGACTTGATTGAATAGATTTTTAAAACTATCATGAAATAATATACGTGATATTATTTAAATAAAAATTAATATTTTATTATTTATAGAATTATCAAATTTTTTTTATAAATAGAATACCAAATCTTATATTTTGTGAGAAGTTATTTTCCAGAACATATGTATAAACAAGCACCTAAAAAAAAGTCATTACTATAAGACATATTGATCCATATTTTCTAATTGAGGGACCATCGAGACAATAAGTGCCGGTGCCGGCGTTTGGTTGCTGACCATCAACCGCCACCTACCAGTTGAAACTTACAAAGCATATGTCGGGCCCCTATTTAACAACACATGCGATTTTAAAAGAATAAAATTAAGGTGCAACCAACCTCATAATAGCAAAAAAAAAAAAAAAAAACCCGGAAATTTTTTTTACAATGTTTTGCTGGGGCAGGGCCCCTGCTTGCCACCCCTGGGCCCGTCACGCGCAAGTTTTCAAGATAAGAGCTGTTGCCTGCCCCTCCTCGAGGGCTTCATTTCTCTATAAAAGGAGGGATCGTCTCCTTCATCTCTCACAGCTCAATTTCTGTCTGTGAGTTTAGCAGCGGAATTTCTCATCCCCTGCATTCGGTATGGCCTCCATCCTTTCTTGGTTTTAGCTCTCAATTATGTCTCGGCAGTGCTATTTTTAAGCTAATGTTTATATGCTAAACTCAAGTATGTATACTTCGAATATATATGATCGTTACATCTTGTGTCTTTTTCTTTTTATATACTTGTCATATTTATTACTTTTTTTTTTAATCTTTTTATCTTTAATTTTTGTAATGGTAAAATTATAATTTTCATCTTTTTTTTTCAAGAAAACAAGTATTTCTTATATTTTTAATTAGAAAACATGAATTTAATTAAATGCTTATATGGAACTTTGGATTTATAATTAGACCAAGAAAAAACATATTTGAAAGCCTTCTTGTTATTTTTTTACAAAAAAGTTATCCATCTCAGATCATATATACTTCTTCATTCACATGCACATGGAAGAGGAATTAAAACTCTAAAAGGTGCTTACATGAAAAAGATTTAGGATAAATGTGAAAATAAAATAATAAATAAAAAGGCATGGAGATAATACATATAATATCATATTTAATGACTGAACTGTAAACATTTTCAAAGCGTGGGAGTGCTGCAGCACAGGTACATGGCCGAGGGTATACTTTTTCTCAATCTGACCAGAAGCTTCTTAATGAGGAAATGCATTCACTCCTTGCATTTCTTATCTACCTTCCAACGATGCATTTGACATGCACACCCCTATAAATATATTTTCTTCAAGATGATTGACGAACCTCTACAGTAAGTCGCTGGAAAGAGTATCACGTTCTCGTAGTAGTAGCTAGATCAAGTCAGAACAGTGCTAAGACTGACAGAAGGTCTCGGTCCTTTTAGTTTATGCTAATTACTTTTTTTTTTTGTTTGATATGTAGTACTTGTTCAAGAAAGTTACTCAACACAACTGGCATCCATGGATTTCGACTTATCTCCAAGGTTAGCCCAACAGTTATTTGATGGAGAAGCTGGATCTTACTACAGCTGGTCAAGTTCTGAGTTTCCGTTGCTAGCAGAGGAAAAGGTTGGTGCAGGAAGACTTGTCCTTCAGCCTCGTGGTTTTGCACTTCCCCATTATGCCGATTCCTCTAAAATTGGCTATGTTCTGCAAGGTATATGTACCAATTCATTAATTCTCTCCTCCTCCTCCTTACAAATTATTAGATATTTTTTCTTTTATTTATTATGGTTTGCGATGGTTAAATTAAGTGGGTCCGGTACAAGTTTTTCTGGCACGCGTCTTTGTAATAAAAGACGGTAGTATTCCATTGTTTGAGCTTTGATCATAATACAATAACACAACCAGCTATGAGAAAAAAATATATTTTAATATATAATATATATAAATTACATGAGATCTTATTTAATGATTTTAAATTAAATAATTATTTAGTATGGTATTAGAATATTGTTATTGAATAATCACGTTCTCAAATCTAATGATTTTATTATTTTTAATTATAATGAATTAATATTACAATTTAAAGTCTTCTTTGTTTTTATACAATTATTGATATGTATAATCTTGGTCTCCGGTAGGTAGTGATGGAATAGTAGGAATGGTGCTCCCAAACTCGTCAAAAGAGGTGGTGTTAAGACTCAAGAAAGGAGACGTGATACCGGTGCCTCTTGGAGCATTGTCTTGGTGGTACAACAACGGAGATCACTCAGAAGAAGTCGTTATAGCTTTCTTTGGGCAAACTTTCAAGGCACACATTCCTGGCGAATTCACCTACTTCTTCTTAAGTGGAGGCCAGGGTATCATTGGAGGGTTCTGTTGGGAAATTCCGACCGGTGATATTCTGATACTTGCTCATAGGAGGGCCAAGCACACTGACACAATATTTAACGTGGTTCGGCAAA